AAAAAAAAAAAAAAGAGCAAAAGAGAAGGGAGCAAAAGTCACGGTTCCGGCACGTTGATCGCTAGTCTCCAAGCGCTCCTATCCACCGCTAAATCCTTAGAGATATTCCAATCTTTAAGGTCTCTCTGAACCGACTCTTCCCAAGTGAGTTTAGGCCGACGTCTACCTCTCTTAACAACATTGGCCCGCTGTAGAACTCCCCTGCGCACCGGTGCATCAGGAGGCCTCCGTTGGACATGTCCGAACCACCTCAGCCGATGTTGAACCAATTTCTCCTCAATTGGGGCCACCCCGACCCTATCACGAATATCCTCATTTCGGATTCTATCTCTTCTTGTGTGCCCGCAAAACCAACGCAACATCCGCATCTCTGCTACACTTAGTTGTTGGACATGTTGTCTTTTTGTAGGCCAACATTCAGCACCATATAGCATCGCCGGGCGAATCGCCGTCCTATAGAACTTACCTTTTAGCTTTTGTGGCACCCTCTCATCACAGAGAACGCCCGAAGCTTGACGCCATTTCAACCAACCGACTGCAATTCTATGCCTAACATCTTCATCAATGTCGCCATCCTTTTGAAGCATCGATCCTAAATACCGGAAAGTCTCCTTCTTGGCCACCACTTGCCCGTCAAGGCTAACATTACCATCATCATGAGTAGCCATGCTGAAAGCGCACGTCATGTACTCGGTCTTCGTCCTACTAAGTCTGAAGCCTTTCGACTCTAACGTGTCCTTCCACAGCTCTAACTTCCTATTTACCCCGGCCTTACTCTCGTCAACTAGCACCACATCATCAGCAAAGAGCATACACCAAGAGAGATCACCTTGTATGTCTCTTGTGGCCTCATTCATGACCAAGGAAAATAAATAAGGGCTCAATGCTGACCCTTGGTGTAGTCCTATTTTAATTGGGAAGTCACTGATATCGCCCCCACATGTTCGAACACACGTCATCGCATCCTTGTACATATCCTTGATGAGGGTAATTTACTTAGATGGGACTTTGTGCTCTTCTAAGGCCCACCACATGACATTCCTCGGTACTCTGTCATAAGCCTTCTCAAGGTCGATAAAGACCATGTGCAAGTCCTTCTTTTGGTCCCTATATCTCTCCATCAACTGTCGTATTAGGAAAATCGCCTCCATGGTCGACCTTCCAGGCATAAACCCAAATTGGTTTTGGGTCACACTCGTCACTCGTCGTAGGCGATGCTCGATAACCCTCTCCCAGAGCTTCATCGTATGGCTCATCAACTTAATCCCACGGTAGTTACCACAACTTTGAACATCACCCTTGTTCTTGAAGATCGGTACTAAAGTACTTCTCCTCCATTCATCAGGCATCTTGTTTGACCGAAAGATGAGGTTAAAAAGCTTAGTTAATCATACTAACGCTCTGGCGCCCAAACATCGCCACACCTCAATAGGAATATCATCAGGGCCCATTGCTTTACCTCCCTTCATCTTCTGCATAGCCTCTCCGATCTCTGCCTCTCAGATTCTCCTCACCAAGCATCTATTGGTATCCTCAAATGAGTCAACCAACTCCAAGGTAGGATCCTCACTCTCCCCATTAAACAATTTGTTGAAGTACTCTCGCCATCTGTCCTTGATCTCCCCCATCCTTCACCAGTGGCCGATCCGACTCATCCTTGATGCATTTGATTTGGTTGATGTCCCTTGTCTTCCTCTCCCGAATCCTAGCTATCTTATAAATATCCTTCTCCCCCTCCTTCGTGCCTAGGCGCTGATAGAGGTCATCATAGGCCTGACCCTTCGCTACACTCACGGCACGTTTTGCAGCCCTTCTCGCTATTTTATAGTTCTCAATGTTGGTTGCACTCTTGTCGAGGTGGAGACGCTTGAAACACTCTTTCTTCTCTTGAATAGCCCTTTGCACCACGTCATTCCACCACCAAGTGTCTTTCGCATCCTGCTTGCCTCCCCTACTCACACCAAGTACTTCTGCAGCCACCTTCCGTACACATGTTGCCATCTTCAGCCACATGTCATCTGCATCTTCTCCTTCTTCCCAAGGCCCCTCGCCTAGCATCCTATCCCTAAACGTCTGCGCCACTTCCCCTTTAAGCTTCCACCACTTCGTTCTCACGGTCTTGGCACATTTGTCCCGGTGGACACGTACTCGGAATCAAAAGTCCGCCACCACCAGCTTATGTTGGGGGACAACACACTCCCCAGGTATCACCTTGCAATCTACGCAAGCGCGTCTATCCTCCCTCCTTGCAAGGATAAAGTCGATCTGACTTGAGTGACGTCCACTATGGAAGGTCACTAGGTGAGATTCCCTCTTCCTAAAGAGGGTGTTCGCTATCAGCAAGTCGTAGGCCATCGCAAAGTCCAACACACCCTCCCCCTCTTCATTCCTACTACCATACCTAAATCCTTCGTGCACTCTCTCGAAACCTATATTAGTCGCGCCCACATGTCCGTTGAGGTCTCCTCCTACGAAGAGCTTCTCGCTGGCAGGCACCATACTGACCAAGGTGTCCAGATCTTCCCAGAATTGCCTCTTGGCGCTCTCACTAAGACCTACGTGAGGGGCATAGGCACTGATCACATTCATGGTCACATCCCCAACTACCAATCGGACTAGGATAATCCGGTCGCCTTGCCTCCTAACATCTACAACTCCATCCTTAAGGCTCCTATCGATCAGGATGCCTACACCATTCCTACTCGATGAAGCCCCAGTGAACCAAAGCTTGAAGCCAATATCCTCCACTTCCTTCGCCTTCTGCCCCTTCCATTTAGTCTCCTGGACGCATAGGATATTAACACGCCTTCCATTTAGTCTCCTGGACGCAAAGGATATTAAATTGATTACATAAATAAGTAGTATTAACGTGCATTAAATATTTTACCATTACATAAAATAAAAAGAAAAAGAAGACGTACAATTTCTATAACTTTTATAAATAATAATGACATTATAAGCTAACAAAGTTTATAATAAAATACATATATATACAAAAATCAAATTTATATGGTGCACAAGAATAAGTAAAATTGTTATTTTGTCTTATATCAAGGAATAAATATAGATACAAAAATCAAATTTATATTAGTATAAATGTAATGATGAAATAATATATTAATATTTTTACAAACTAGCCCTGACATTCTCATATTTAATGTTCTGGTTTAAAAACAAAGCTGATTAAAAGAGGTGAAAATAGATTATAACCCTATTTTTTTTAGACCTAACGCTGATTAAAAAATGTGGAAAATAGATAATAACTCTATTGGCTTTTAGACTTAAACAGATAGAGCCTGTAAAAATTACTCATTTAATATATTGTACCGTGCATCGCTCGAATACATACTAGTTAAACAAGAAACCAAAAACAGAAAGGGTTAACATATAAATAACCTAATGTGCTTAGGTACCAGCGGCTCCAGCTGCTGTTTAGCGTAAATCTTTGCTTTTTCGACCAATTTTAATTTTTTATGATCAACATAGGGAAGAGGGTCCGGACGTTGGGCATCAACAATTAACTCCTTAAGCGCAACACAATTCTCCACCAAGTAGTTGACTAATTCAAGATCACTCGGGCAACCATAATAACCTAAAAACCGAAAAACATTCAAGTGCTGGTGTTGTGGAAACTGCTTAACTCCCTTCTGAATTTCTCTATTTGACCTTTTAACACCACACCATCGTTGCTGCAAATATAAGTGAAAATAAAATAAAGGTCATACATTAATCTAACATATAAAATCTAAGACAAGAAAATACAAGCCATAATAAAGCCATTCGATAAAAAGAGCTGTTTACACGAGATTGTAGGTATAATATTTTCAAACATGTTTGGGATAGACCAACCACCTTTAACTCAAATTCTTGCAAGTTGGGAGATGCATTGATAAAATGAGCCAGGTCTAGAAGACTCCAGTCCACTCCATATAAAAATTTCTTGACGACCAACTTCCTAAGTTTAGGCATCACAGGGAAATTGAGCGTCGTTAGAAGCTCCTGCAACAACAATAAATAAAGATATCAACTGGTCAGTTACATATACAGGCTCACTGCAAATTTCATAGGATGCTAGAGTTATAAATTATTTAGTTTGTTTTTTGTACATATTTATAATAATGCTTCAAACAATGAATTTATTGCT